AGTTGAAGAACATATGGAGCTCAAAACTACTGTCAACCAATATCAAAGTGAAAATCTTCAATACGAACGTAAAGACAGTTCTACTGTACGGAGCTGAAACTTCGGGAACTACCACAACCGTCATTAGGAAGGTACAGGTATTTATAAAGAACTGTCTTTGTAAGATACCGAATGTCCGTTGGTCGGATACCATCAGCAACGAACTACTGTGGCAGAGAACAAAGCAACTTCCAACTGAAGAGGGAATTAGGAAAAGACACTGGAGGTGGACAGAACATACATTGAGGAAATCATCCAGTTGAATCACGAGGAAAGCCCTGACTTAGAGTCATGAAGGTAAACGGAAAGTAATAGGAGGCAGACATCAAAAGAATAGATAGCAGCTGGAGACATCTGGTGGAGCTTGTCTAGGACATAGTTGAATGGAGTATGCTGGTCAGCAGCGCATTCTCGCACAAGAAGTAGCTGCACTAAGTAAGTAATTACCGTTCATTTGACATTTGTTCCTAAACAACGCGTAAAACACTGATTTATACAAAGTGTGCGTGTCTAGAATTATTAACTTATTGTTATTAAGTTGTCTTCTAGACCCAATCAAGTTTTGAAAAAATTCGATGAGGTTCAGTAGAGCGATTTATATTCGAGATGAAATTACGAGTCACCGATCGATCCGACATATACACTACCAAACGGGAAGCAAAGATGAATGGTGTCTGGCAGTCGAATCCAGATCGTGTGTTTCGTTCTATTTGGGACTCGTCAGTTGGGTGTAAGTGCATTCCAAAGTTGATAATCACTCTGAGACTCGGACTTACTACAATTCACTCCAAAAGCCATCACGTTATTCACTTCGCTACCGAGTCCTGAATTTCACTGCTATCTACCATCCATCTTTGCTTATAGTGCTTGTGTTAATGTTGGTGTTTTTTGCAATAGTTTCGTGATTTTAGTGCGACAACAGACTACTTAAATATGAAAACATCTAAAATATATGAAACTCAGTAATTGATATACTGAATGACCACGTGATACTAGGTGGTTCAAGGTCTTTGAAACGAAACAGCGGGGGGCTTTGAGTGGTCCTGACTATTTTACCATGCCGTAGGTCACCCATGTGAATGATCTGTTTGGGTGGTCATGGTCTGCTGAAGTTAGATGGAAACAGTATGACCGCCTAGCTTACGTCAAAGTCACATCTGGCAGTTAATATCTGATCTGGCTTATCCTATCGATAAAAAGGTTAAATGGTCATTTGATGTTGTTAAGAGAAATACTGTGAACGGGAAATTGCATATATTTGTAAGCGAATAAGAGAAATAAAAAATGGGACCACTGCTCCATATCCATGTTCGTGGAGTGCAACCGCTTGATGGAATCTGGTTGTCTTTAACCTCCATAAGGCTCTATTAACAATTCGACGCTAAGTGATATGTCTAGTGAATGGCTTGACTGAGAGTCATTTACATTTCATTTTCTTTGTACCACAGCAATAAGAGTTTAAACAATTTTTTTATGGCAGGTTATTTAGTAGAATATCATATTCTTCATATGACAGAAAGAAAGTATTTTATTTGTAGTAACCATCAGTAGCTAATGTATTATTAGGAACTATGCATAATTAGAGTGATTGTAGAACATTTATTCACCAAACAGTTTCTCATGATGTCCAGAGTTAAAAATCAACCCAATTCTTGCAAAATGTTTGCAGTGTTTAGTTGATCAACTTCAAGTTTAATTGATTGATCTGCGTATTCATGACTTCACGAATACGTTAAGCATCTAAAGAACTGTTAGTGAGGTTACAAATATGTTCTTTGTAAAGTATTTCAAATACTCAAGGAAATAAACAGTCACTTACTAGTTTGAATAAGTAAAATATTTTTTTCACATAATAACGGGCACATTGAAAAGCTCATGGTAGCCACTTTCTTTCATCTCACAGATGTTTAATTCTACCAAACACGTTTGCAGATTTTTAATTCACTATGAAGTACAAGCTAGAAAGAAACATGCTTCCAAATTATGACAGCCTTTATAAAGCCCTCAAAAGGAAGAATGACTTTTCTACGTACAGATTGGTGAAATAATTCCATAGAAAAATTAATCTTTGATATTTGACAGTAAAAGTGCAAAACAGGACGATGAGGGGAATGTGAATCAACATCTTATTCCAACTGAACCTTGACTGTAAATGTTAAATATCCTTAAAAATACTAGTAATATATTAACAGAGTTAAATCCTTTCATACCAGCCGTAGTGTCCACATAGAACAGTTCTGTAATGGTAGGGTGACGCGCAATAGATCAATAAGGCACATAATTTTCATTCATAAGGCCATAGGGCAGTGATCTCAGTTAACATGCACATGTGAATCCTAAGATTAAAAGCCACATTCGACTGAATAAGTGACCAGTTACTTCCACCTAATACTAACCATAATTTAGGAGAAAAATATTTATGTTCTACTCTTTTCAATTTACAGTCTAACTGCCATATTTAATTACAACCACACTGATATCAAAGAACTCTTATTTCCATCAAACAGTTACCTTTACCTTGTTAACTACTATGACACTTGCATGACACACATTTATCATGAATCTGATTCACAAGGGGTTATTTTACACTGATTTTTAGGAAAACTAGAGGTCGTCTAGTCTGTTTATAACCTGAACAATGCAGCAAAACTTTGTGGTACTACCATCAAGAACACTGATTGTGAATTAAATGAAAAGTCACTCAGCCAGATCTAGAGAAATTATAGGGGCCTGATTTTGATGGTCCATCAATTCACATCGTCGAAATGAATGCATATTTTCTGCAGATAATTTTATGAAATGTCACAGAAGACATTTCACTTCGTTTCATTACATCTGTTTCGTTGAAAGGCGGAAAGGTAATAATATTATTTGACGTTATTTTGTTTTATTTTGGATAAAATTAAGCCGTTTTAATCAGTTATTAAAGTTTGAATTTGGATTTCTTAAAGTTCGAAAGTTATACTACAATTCAAGTCTACTCCTATTTTGTTACTGTCGAAATGGAGCAACCGAGAAATTTATGTAATTAAATCAGTGTTGAAAAATACACTCATTATACGTAATATTTATTTTTGTTTAATACTGTGAAAGAAAATAAGAATATACTTGAAACATATCTAAATAGTTAACCATTTTGTTATAAGTATTCTATAGTAGTAGTAATAACCACTGTCAGTACCTCTGATAAAAACAAAATCAACCTATTTTAATGTATTCACCGGTTCAAGTTGTTCTTGGAGAGTTATCTTTTCGCACAACTGTAAAAATATTATTCAAAGCTTTATGTTTTACTGCTATTTAAAGTTTCGTTTGGATTCATTTTCAGATTGTTTAGGAAGACATAAACGTGTTAAAATGTTTCGGAAAAGTATAAAAGTTATACTTAGCAAAAATAAAGTTAATGAAATCTGAATTACTATAAAAAAGTTACAAATAATTTAAATAAGAACTGATATAATATGATTAATTACTCTTAAAAGTAATGAACACTTTAGAAAGACAAAATAATAGAAGTATTTTAGATTATCTGATAGTATGAAAAAAATATTTCGAGTGTCATGTCCAAATTACTTCTGGAATCATTCGTTCTATACTTCCTACTGGACATACTAGTGATTCGTCCGCAAGGAAATCAGAATAAAATGGTACTAAGTAGCCTCTTACATTTTTAAGTAACTCAATTGCTTTTTCACGATCACTGACAATTAATGGGACTTCATTTCTTCTTTCAGCGCACTGTCGAAAGGTTAACAAGCCTGAGCCAGGTATGCAATTAAAAACCTATTCATAAAAAAAGTAGACGAAATCATCATATTGCTTTATAACGGAATATCCTTTTTGTTGACTAGTGAAAAAACAAATTATAAATCAATTAGTGAGACTCCAAAGTTACAACTTCTAATTATCTGTAAATTCTCCACCGTTCTTAAAACATTATACAAACTTACATTTTGCCAAGAACGTCATACTCATTAACACTGGTTCATCTGTACAGTTTCTCATTTATTTATTTATTTGATGTGAATCGTGCTTTATTAGATAATATGAGCACGAACATCTAATGAAAAGCTCTTTAGTTGT